CCTTAACTCCCTTTCCATGTCCCACACAGGCCAACAAGTGTGAAATGTAGCTTGTCTCCTCAAGTGCTTTCTCAAGACGTCTTGCATTGCCTTACTTGAAAGCTCTATTGACCTACAGCTCTCGTTCACACGACTGGCTCACCTGCTCTTCTTTGCACACTCAAGGGCTTTTTAACAGATTTGAGGCAAGGCTTTCCCAGGGAGCTGGCAGAGCTCTTCACTGTCTTTCACTTGACTCTAGCTTTTCAGCATCTGCTGTTCCTGGACTTTCAGGCCTGAGGTCTCACGTTATTAAACATTCCCTGGCAAAATGTCCAATGCACATAAATAAAATGAGGCAAAAGATGATTATGATTACACTTAAAGGTGTAGTGACTCTACCTTTCTATGTCTAAGGATGATTTAATTCATAGTGAGGCACTAAACAAGGATGAAATAAAGCTCTGAAACTTGTTTTTCAATACTGGGGCTTAATGTTCATGTCAAAAGCTTTTGTACAATCCCTAGTGATACTGAAAATATTATACCAGAAACCACAGCTACATTAAAAATGGAGATTATGTAAATGAATATAAGGTGTCAAACTGTGGTCAGCTATATAGTTATTAAAAATCTATATATCAACAGGCTGCTGTTATATAAGAGATTTTTTTTTTAACACAGAATTTTAGAATGGCCTAGTTTGGAAGGTACATTAAAGATTGTTGAGGATATGGTTTGGTTTGGTTTGGCTTTTGCCAGTCAGGAATTGAAAATCACTTTTGGGGATGCAAATTCTTCTCTCAACATCAAAATAAACCAACCCACTCAGTTCAGTTTTAGAGAGTTACATAGATTATCTTGCTAAAGTCTCCTTCTACCTTTTACTTTAGCTCTGGTGTCATCCTTTTATTGACAGCAATAGTATACAAAGTTATTGTTTCTTTTCCTGCTCATATACTTTCTGATTAATGAAATGCAGCACAGTATTTTATTGTGATGAGCTCTCATTTCAAAATTCTATACCAAAGATTGGTCTGCAATGATAAAAATGCAAACCTGAAAGATTTAAGGATGCACAGTAGGGCTATGAATGAGGCATGAAGGAGTCAGGAAGGACTGAATTAACTGTTTCAACCAACATACAAAATCTAAAATGGTGCATTAAGACAGAAAATGGAAGCATATTGACATTGCTGCTAAAAGATGATAGCAGATCTTGTAGCTTTTCCTAAAGTGTCTTTATCTTCTGCAAAACACAAGAAGTGTCTTCAGATTAGTTGAATGACAAAGCTTCGCTACATTTCCAGGCATAAAGAAAATATGTTGTTATTTGTTGAATGTAACTTTATTTTTTCTGGTAGATAGCTTCTCTAAGATTTTTGTTCAGCTCTGCTTAACTCTTCTAAAACAAAAACTGAGGTTAAGTTTCTATTTTCCAACCAGAAATTCTAGTACCCTGCAAATGTAGATATCACTTGATATTTGGAGAGACCAGGGAAGAAACTGGAACATCTTCGCGCTCAAAAGACCTTGTTTGCTGTATATCAGGTTTAATCATCTATTGGTTATATTGGAATGTGGATACCTAAAGTCCATGGTCTAAAGCATATTGCTGACTTCCATCTGGAAAATCAAGACTCATTAAACTTAAGGACTCCCAAATAAATCCTAACATTTATTTAAAATCCAAGTGTAACATGGAGTATAACTCCATGTAGAACTCAAAGTATGCAGATAACTGCATAGATAACAGCACAAGATAACACCACAAAAAAATGAAATAGATTGTTTTAATTTAATCCTAGCAGTTTCAAGAATCAGCAGGTCTTGCATCTCCAGTGCAAGCAATGACATCTCTAAGTGACTTTTTGAATGTGCATTTTAAATTTAGAAGAAGCCTGAATTTTATTAAACCAATCCCTGGACAAGTACTTTTAATTTAATTAAAAAGCCTAGATTTGGGGGTTAAAGAGAAGGGAAAAGTATACAATCATCCAGAACTTTTTGTGTTCTCCTCTAGGAGTGTTCAAGACACATATTTTCTTCAATGTATAGCTACTAACCCATCAAATTCAGGGAATTTACTCAAGAAATGCAGAAATTCAAGTATTAGAAATATGAGTCAATATAGAAATTTTTGGAACTGATAGTAAATTATTTCTATACACTTACTGCACTGATGAAAAATTTAGCTACATCTGGTAATATAAAAATTATCTGTCACCCTGGTAGGCTGAAACTGAGGGCTGGAAGGAAAAATCAGTTCTTACAGTAGTGTGGACCACTTAGAGAAGGAAACTAAGTTAATCTGCCTGTAAAAACACACCATCCACAGCCATAGTCAGATAACACCATCTCTCATCTAATTTTATTTTATTTGAAATGTCCCAAGCACAAAAATATATAATATTTCCTCAAATGAAAAATTTCAGTTCATCAAATAGTGTTCTCTTTTCTCTTTTGGGAATAAATAAATATGTATTGACATGCATGTGTGAAATAACCTTTCTTTTTTTCCTTTCTTTTTTCCTGAAATAGAAAGAGTCAGTACACCTATTGGTATACAATGCTTTACAGTAGCACTTAGTATAATCTAGATCAGAGACGTTCTTGAGACGTCTAAAACCTACTCAGGGAGGTTTGTATCATCAAATGGAAAGTACAGAGAAAACTTTCACAGCCTCATTTTATGGAAATTCACAGATGTTATGCACTGTGCATCCCAAATTCGCCACAAGAATGTTAGGAAAACAAGTTGAATAGGCCGTAATGAATCTTTTCAGAAGGATGAAAACAAAAGACAGAATGAAAGACAATTTACTTCCAATAGTTCCTCGAGCCTCTTTTAAAAATAGAGTATCAAATTACAACTCTGAACCTACCCTTTTGTTTGATTAAAAACATCTCATTACCCCATGCAAGCTCATCATCATAAAGACATATTAGTCTATTCTTACTGGGAGTGACTTATTGCTAAATTCAAATTGAATATTGGTGTTTTGCCATTGAAATGCCAATACCAAAAATTGTATGTAAGTCATTGGAATCAATGGCACCTTCAGATTTAATTACACACACAGTCAAAGGAAACCCAGTAAGTTAAACATGGTTATTGTGCATAAAAAGTCATAATAGTATTTTTGAAGAAAATAAATGCATATATTAAAATAAAACATTATATTATTTTTGTGCTTTCTATCTTATATTAGCTACAAAATTATCATATGTGATGCAGAAAGAGCATCTTAAGCCTGCTCTTATGTCACCTATAGATGCTTTGGAAATTCTACTTACCACTTAGACTTTCAGTTCTTTTGCTGTCATTCATCACAATATATTCCAATTCTTCAAGTATTTAAGTACATTCTTAACTTTCCATCAAACACAATGCAACATAATCACGGAAACTGTGATTAAACCCTTGCAAAATTATATCTTTAGCCATCAGACTTCTGACTGCTTGTGTTTTTCCCACTTCTGCTGGCTTTGTAAACTCAAGATGAAAGAAACCTATGTACCACAACATGATGTCTGGGGAAGTGCACCAGCACCACTTTGAAACATCATATCCACTACACTTTTCTGACAAATCTGATTGTAAAATGCCTAACTACCTGCATGGAAAATAATTGTGTTTGGTCTGTTCCTAAAAACTGGAAATTTTCTGCCATTTCTCCATTTCTAGCAGTTAAAAGACAGGTGACAAAGCTGGCCAGACAATTTTTTTTTTTTTTTTTCTTTATAAATGTATTCCATGTTCAGAAGGAGCCCTGAAAGAAATGCTGCTACTTGTCTTTTTATAAGCACCACCCACCATCTCCTAGCAGGGTTTCGCTCAAGCAAAGGCTGAGTCACTTTTCTTTTCCCTTTTCCTTCTAAAGAAATACAATATATTAAAATTCACAGCCTTGGGGATCAGCTTGTTAATCAAATGCTGAAAAGCAGAATATTCAATCCCCCGTTCCAGGTGCTGGGAAAGCTGCTGATTTTATTTTTCAAAAAGTACAATTTTCCACCTTGAACATGCAAGTGCTCCTAGTGGCACTACTGTCAAGAGGAGGTAATTCTTTTTCCCAGCAGAAATCTGGAGTGGCTTTTGCATAGGTTTTTGTTGAATTCTTTACCAAATATAAGGGGAGATATTTTAAAAACTTACTTTCACCATGTCTAAAAGAGCAAAAATGTCCATTTTAGTGGTAAAAAGACTAGAGCAGAAAGTTCCTTCCTAAATATTATTAAGAAAACTTCAAAGATAAATTTCAGAGATGGGACAAGAAAATGTCAAAGGAAATAGTCACATTAAGCCTAGACCCTTAACAAGAGCTGAGGAAGGTATTCAGGTTAAAATTTGCTTGGTAACATAAGTTTTCTGGTAGAACCAGCAGCCATCCACTGTAATTAAAATAAAGTCATGATAACAAAACAAGCCAGCTTCCCTGAGGTATTCTGAATTCTAGAAAACTCGATTTTCTGAAAATATAACATGATTACCTTTTAGCTATTAGTATTAAAAGCTATGTGTAAGATCAGGAATAAGAATCTCTTACTTAAAAAACTTCATAGCAATGAAAATTGAAAACATACACCAGGGGCCTCAAGAATCACTTTTAGTCTTCCTTCTAATAAAATCAGGAATAAACACTGCATCCTCAATAAACAAACAATACAGAGAATACATATTGACATAATACATGCATCCACATTCATCTGAATAGTTTTTTCTTTCACTCAGATTCATGAAAATATTTTAAAATAACTCAGAAATTCAAAAATAACTTAGAACTTTCCATACTTTTCCTTTCTTCCTGAGAGTGAGGCTTATTTGTGAATAAATACAAAGGAATTAATTGCATTTCTTTAAAGTTGTAAGGGTATTCTAGTACGATTCACTGCTAAAAGTGTGGATTAAACACTAAGCAAGGGTATTTTGTTTAAAACCTAGAGGTACTATAGGGTCATTTTAGACATTTGAAATTTTAATAGCATACAATTACAGTCAATTAAAATGGAACATTTACCTTGCAAACCAGGTTCCATAGATACAAGCAGGAAAGACAAAAGAGTTTTCTGCCAAGTTTTCCAGCTCTACTGCTCACTTACTGAAAAAAATTAAAAAAAAAAAAGGAATAAAATTTATTTAGTCATAAGTTGTACAGAGCTTTTTGAAATGTTGATACTTTCAAAGCAAATGCCTGGAGACATTTTAAAGTGATATTTAGCTCCTGTCAAAAAAGGAATAGAAAAGATTGTCAGAGCCATAAATGTGTCTGCTAAGGTAAATAGGGTTAGAGGCAATTGAAACCTCCTATAAACACCAAAAAATAGCATGCACTCACTGGCATTCAAGGGGAGCAGGCACCTGTGCTGCCTATGGAAGGATAGGGAGACACTTATAGGGGATCTGAAGGTGAAACTTACAAAACATTAAACCTGAGTGGTGACAAAGGGAAAAAGAAATCGCTTTAACAGTAGGATTAAGTGTTTTTCTCTGCTGGTGACAGACCTCGGCACCTCCACAGATTTCTCCATCCATGTCTCCAAATCCATAGTAAGAAAGGAGGGTTTTAGAATGTCTTGCAATATTGAATTAAAATCTAAAATTTCCATTTATTTTAACAGGACAGATTAAGAAACATCTGTATTACACAGTGAAGGTTGAGGAGCTAAGAACAGTTCTGAATCACATATGTGACAGGACCAGAACAAGCCTGAAAGAACCACAGATTGCTTGATAAGCCAGAACTACACTGATACCAAAGACTATTAATGACTATGCTATTTTAAAATTAATGAAAAATTCCATAAATTCTTTTGATCAACATGTCCCACACAAGCTTTTTAGAAAAACCAACCAAAATAACAAAATTATTCTTCTTTTCGCTATATACAAATTACTTGTCCAAGACTTTCCCAATGCATGAAAAAGATGACCCTGTATGTCTGCATAAAACACATTGTGATCTGACTGAGATTATTCTGTAAACTGAAAAACATGATGTAAAAAAGAAATAAGACTATTATTTAAAATATGCTTTTATTAGGCTTTATTAGGTCTATTATATTAGCTATAATATAAATATACAACACCCACAGGAAATATTAAATAACTCAAGTAAACACAAACTTCATGATAAAATATAATATTTTATCTAACTCTCATTCAACCAGCTTGTTATGTGGTATACAAATATGTTAGTTAATTCAATCATTTTATGTTGTACTTTATGGTTTGTAGTGGCCAAGGTAAATGGACTAATAGCTAAATTGCAGAGTACATCTATAACATAAGGAATTAATGCAATTTGCAGAAGCAGTCTTGAAAGGCAGCAATGAACTGTCAGACCACCAGGGTCTGGAAGAGTCTCCACTAAACACAAATATTTCCCTAGAGAAGAAGTTGGATTGCATATTCACCAAAACTGTAGTTTTGGCATGACATTTGCATCAATTCTCTGTTACCTCCCTAGGAGATCATCTCCAGAGAAAATGGAAAACTTATTTAAACTCACAGCATTTATTTTTTTTTTTAGGTTTTCTCTTCCTAGAGAATTGTAACCATTTATTGATTTTGCATTATTTTCCCTTGAATCCTTCTCTGAGTTAACACACAGTGGATTGGAATTAGAAGGGGAAAAAAACCCCAGAAAACAAAATAATTAAAAAACAACCCAAACAAACACAAACACAAAATCTCCACAAATAAACCAATTCATCATGTCTCTAATTTTTTTCTTTTGTTTATGCTGAAGCCAAAGGGAAATATTTTAAGTACTGTAGTTGTTTCCCTTCACCTTCTGTTGGACATACAACAAATGTAAAATAAGGGTGAGCATGAGCATTTGGAAGCTGAGAGGATTAAACTCTGAACCCTGCTTTGTATTCTAACCTTCAAATAATATTTAAATATCAGATCTAAACAGGAAGAAACAGATTGTCAGGAAGTTCCACATGAAGATGAGGAAGAACTTCTTTCCTGTGTGTATGCCCCTTACACATGGTCCAGATGGTCCAGAGAGAGTATGGAGGCTCTCTCACGGGAGATATTTAAAAACAGTCTAGATGAAGTACCATGTGCTCTGGGATGACCTTTCTTGAGCAGGGATATTGTACTAGTTGGACCCACTGTGGGACCTCCCACCCTGAACCATTCTGGGACTCTGTGATTTCTCCCCTCACCAAGACACAGCTGCAAAATGGAGCATCAACATCAAAACCTCCTCCATTAGAGAAGGCCAAGGGTGAAACTGCCAAATGTTGATAATAACATCTCCATCTCATTACTTATTACTTCTGAGGGTAAAACTCAAGTGGTAGGAGAGGACTAGAGGCAATGCAATGCAATACAATACAAGGTCAATACAAGAGGCTGTTAGGGAAGGTAAATTTTTCTGTGGCAGGAAACAGTTCCTCCAGAGATAAGTGATTGCCTGATAGGTGAGTCACAGAGGAACTAATCAGTTTCCCCAGCTGCAGGATATCACCAATATCTCACCTTAAAACAGGCTGCCCTTGGCCCCAAGCTGCTCTTTAGGTGGTACAGAGTTGGCACTGGGGAAGCACACAAACTTACCAACCAGCTGTGGAAATGGAAGAGGATAGTGAGTGCCAGTGCATGTACACATCGAGAAAAAAGGCACTCACATCGGACAAAAAAAGTATTGTGTACCCCTCAGAAACAAGATCTGTGAGTCCTAGAGAGCTGGTGTTAGGAGGGAATTAACTTCATTGTCAAGAAAAATCTTAAAGATCAGAATTATTGTGAATGGAAGGAATAAAAAATAGAAAATACGAATATACAAATAAGTTGGAGTGACTTTCACAATTTTCTACAAAATATTTAGTGGCACTAAAGAGACAGATGGTGTTTTATTAATACCTATTAGAATAAAAGTCCAAAATAAAGTAAAATATGAATTTCATTCATGGACTGTGCATGGAAAACACAGAACGTTTTTCCCTAGATGCTGATTATCCTAGATTTTTGAAGGAAAAATTATCTGCAGGAGATCCCCTCTGGTAACTCTGGGATATTTTATCTAAATTTGTCTTTTGCAATAGCGCATGTGCAACCTTAATTAAGATATTGCTTTAAGGAAGAGAAAAACTGTCACTAAAATCACAGTGAGAATATAAAAATATCAAAATCAGTAGTTATCAAAACTAGAAGTCTTTAAGGCACACTGCACAGGCACAGCCTGGAAATATTGAAGATTTCATGGGATTCTTTTGAGCCATATGACAAACATGTGAAACGTACTAAGACAGTCTTGTCCTATGATCAGACTATAAACATGAGCATCATGAAATTAAGTCATGTGATCTACATTGATCTATATTGAAAATGTTGAAATACAAGCAAAAAAATGACTGCTAATACTGCAGAAAAAGAAATACATCAGATTTATAGAAGGATGATCTAAATCAGAAGAAAGAAGATTCTTCAGATCCATATATTGAAAATATAATTAACTAATTTTATATTTAAATTGGAGTAGTCTTTCAAGAATAAAATAAATAAATTCTTTGTACAATAAAGTTTGTAAGGATAGTGGCCATATTTTTCTTTAGATTAAATCACAGTTCAGGATTTTTAAAAGATTCCAAAGAGTTGTTACCCAACATGTACTGAGGAGAGGAAGAGCTGGTTTTTAAATCTGTTGTAGCTGAAGATATTATCTTATAATGTATGCTTCTTGTCAAGCATTAATGATTTGAAGATAAAAAGTTTTCACATATGCTTAAGGCAGGCAATGGTTTTAGTTGTTTTTTTTTCTTCCTCTACTTTTGTTTGTTTGTTTGTTTTTGTTTATTTGTTTGGTGGTTTTTGTGTTTCATTTTTGTTAGGTTTCTTTTTTTTTGTTTATTTTGACTTGGTTTATTTTTTTTATTTATTTTTTTTTAATTTAACACGTTTTAAGTTTCTTACAGTACATACATATTAATCTTAGAGAGAGCTTTTTTAAAACATAAACAAACTATCCAATAAAAAATGCAAACTATGTGGGACACAGATATCACACTTTCTCTGAAAGCAAATCTCAGAGATTTGGTATTGAAAAAATTTAATTAAAAAATATCTGCTGCACACCAAGGTCTTCAAACAAGACCTTTGAGAGTCAGCATTAGGAATAGGTAGCAAAACCTTTCAAAACATTGCTGCTTTTAGTACACTTGGTAAATTGTGCCAGGGCACTGTAACCCAAAAGCTGCTGTTTATTCTGACTTCATTGCCCTATCCCAAGCTAAGAGGAGTTTCAGAGAGACACAAAGGAAGTTTAGCTTCCTGAGTGTGGACATTACACTGAAATATCCACTCCTTCCTATGAGGAATTAAAGGGTGTACTATCCTCTGTAGGTGTGTAGTCACACTTTAGAACTTCAGATACTAAACGACAAAATACTGGTAATTACAAAACCAGATGTATTGAGTTTAAATTTCAGAAAAATAGATAAAATTTCAATGGAAAAATCCTATGGATGCTTTAGCACTGAAATAAAATGTCTACGGGAGCTAAATCGGAACCTCCACTATTTCCATCATTGTAAAACATGGGTAAATATCTATCAGAAATCACACATATATAGCCAGAAGACATCATTTGGGGAGGCCAGTGGGTAATGTACTCTCGAGAAACCATCCAACTCATCTTTGATGGAGTTATTATTATATTTTTATTATAATATTATAATATTATATTATTATTTTATATATTTATATTTATTTTTATATATTTATTATTTAATAATATGATTTATATTATATTATTTTCAATAATTCCTAATAATTAAACAATACTAACTAGATATACATTTGGGTTCATTTAATATTTAATTTTTATTTATTAATATTTAATATTTAATATCTGATCTGAAGTATGCATACATCATCACTTTATTTCAGGTATCAGAAGTAACCAAAAGTGAACAAAGGCAATATTTTCAGGTTTAAAATCATGACGAAACTGGAAAAAAGTCAACATTTCTCTTTTCAAATATCCTCAAGATTTATATCATCATCAGTTACTAAAGTTCCTATTTTAATGATATGTATGAGATTTTTGAAAACGAAAAAAATTTAGGTTTTTGAAGCCAAAAT